AAGGTGGAGTATGGTGGGAGTAAGGTGGAGTAAGGTGGAGTATGGTGGAGTAAGGAGGAGTAAGGTGGAGTAAGGTGGAGTAAGGTGGAGTATGGTGGAGTAAGGAGGAGTAAGGTGGAGTATGGTGGAGTATGGTGGAGTATGGTGGAGGAGTAAGGAGGAGTAAGGTGGAGTATGGGTGGAGTATGGTGGAGTATGGTGGAGTAGGTGGAGAGGAGTAAGGTGGAGTAGGTGGAGTATGGTGGAGTAAGGTGGAGTATGGTGGAGTAAGGAGGAGTAAGGTGGAGTATGGTGGAGTATGGTGGAGTAAGGAGGAGTAAGGAGGAGTATGGTGGAGTATGGTGGAGTATGGTGGAGTAAGGAGGAGTATGGTGGAGTATGGTGGAGTATGGTGGAGTAAGGTGGAGTAAGGTGGAGTATGGTGGAGTATGGTGGAGTATGGTGGAGTAAGGAGGAGTAAGGTGGAGTAGGTGGAGTATGGTGGAGTAATGGTGGAGTATGGTGGAGTATGGTGGAGTAAGGAGGAGTAATGGTGGAGTATGGTGGAGTAAGGAGGAGTAAGGTGGAGTATGGTGGAGTAAGGTGGAGTATGGTGGTAGGTAAGGTGGAGTAGGAGGAGTAAGGTGGAGTATGGTGGAGTAGGTGGAGTATGGTGGAGTATGGTGGAGTATGGTGGAGAGTATGGTGGAGTATGGTGGAGTGGAGTAAGTGGAGAGGTGGAGTAAGGTGGAGTATGGTGGAGTAAGGTGGGAGTGGAGTATGGTGGAGTGGTGGGAGTATGGTGGAGTGGTGGAGTATGGTGGAGTATGGTGGAGTAAGGTGGAGTATGGTGGAGTATGGTGGAGTATGGTGGAGTAAGGTGGAGTATGGTGGAGTATATGGTGGAGTATGGTGGAGTAAGGTGGAGTATGGTGGAGTATGGTGGAGTAAGGTGGAGTAAGGTGGAGTATGGTGGAGTATGGTGGAGTAAGGTGGAGTATGGTGGAGTATGGTGGAGTAAGGTGGAGTATGGTGGAGTAAGGTGGAGTAAGGTGGAGGAGGTGGAGTATGGTGGAGTAAGGTGGAGTAAGGTGGGAGTAAGTGTGGTAAGGTGGTATGGTGGAGTAAGTAAGGAGTAAGGACTTGGAGTAAGGTGGAGTATGGTGGAGTATGGTGGAGTAAGGTGGAGTATGGTGGAGTAAGGAGGAGTAAGGTGGAGTATGGTGGAGTAATGGTGGAGTATGGTGGAGTAAGGTGGAGTATGGTGGAGTAAGGTGGAGTAAGGTGGAGTATGGTGGAGTATGGTGGAGTATGGTGGAGTAGGTGGAGTAAAGGAGGAGTATGGTGGAGTATGGTGGAGTAAGGAGGAGTAAGGTGGAGTATGGTGGAGTATGGTGGGGTATGGTGGAGTAAGGAGGAGTAAGGTGGAGTAAGGAGGAGTAAGGTGGAGTAAGGAGGAGTAAGGAGGAGTAAGGAGGAGTAAGGTGGAGTAAGGTGGAGTAAGGAGGAGTAAGGTGGAGTATGGTGGAGTAGGAGGAGTAAGGAGTAAGGTGGAGTAAGGAGGAGTAAGGAGGAGTATGGTGGAGTATGGTGGAGTAAGGAGGAGTAAGGTGGAGTATGGTGGAGTATGGTGGAGTATGGTGGAGTAAGGAGGAGTAAGGTGGAGTATGGTGGAGTAAGGAGGAGTAAGGTGGAGTAAGGTGGAGTATGGTGGAGTAAGGAGGAGTAAGGTGGAGTATGGTGGAGTATGGTGGAGTATGGTGGAGTAGTATGGTGGAGTATGTTTCTTCATCTTTCGCCATCCTTTCCATTCCGCTTTGTATTTGCCTTTTGATAGAGCCCCTATCCCGCCTCCTTCATGTGCTGGACGTATAATCACCTCATTTCTTTTTTCAATCTCTTTGAAGCCCCTCCTTATATTATCCGGGTTGTTGGAATTCTTTAGATTTAATTTGTTTAGATCTTCTAGTTCCATCTGTTTAAACACGCCCACATATTTATTGTGTCCGATTTGACGATTAAAAGTAGATTTATTCCTCCTACCCGTGTTTGGGGGGGGGGGGGGGTTTATCGACATGTATTTCTTCATATTGATGTTCACATTGATATACTTCTGAATGTTGATAAATCTTTCAAATTTATTAAGGTTTTTAACCGGGGCGAGTTATAAACCTTTATGTCGAACTTGTAGCCAGTGGCGTCCCTAGGCAGGTGCAGGGGATGTGTGCTGCACAGGGTGACACCTACCGCATGGGGTGACACCAGACCCGCTCCATGGAAGGGTAAGTTGTAAAGCAAGCTGACGATCCTCGCAGGATGGATGGGATCTGTGGATTGGGGAGCATAATGGATCGGAGTCCGATCCATTATACTCAATCCACAGATCCGATGATCCATCCTGCGGGGTTCGTCGGCATGCAACCTATACGGGTGACACCGGACCCGCTCCACGAGAAGGTAAGTTGTAAAGCAAGCCGATGATCCCCGAAGGATGGATGGGATCTGGGAATTAGGGAGCATAATGGATCGGAGGGGGTCCGGTGTCACCCCGTGCAAATCGAGCATAATGGATCGGAGTCTGATCCATTATGCTCCCCAATCCGCAGATCCCATATAGCCTGCGGGGATCGTCGGCATGCAATCTATACGGGGGTGACACCGGACCCGCTCCATGAAAAGGTAAGTTGTAAAGCAAGCCGACAATCCCCACAGGATGGATCATCAGATCTGCAGATTGGGGAGCATAATGGATTGGAGTCCGATCCATTATGCTCAATCCGCAGATCCGATCCATCCTGCGGGGACCGTCAGCTTGCTTTACAACTTACCTTTTCATGGAGTGGGTCCGGTGTCACCCTGTGTGGTAGGTGTCACCTGGTTCGACGCTCCCCCCCGCACCTGCCTAGGGACGCTTCTGGTTTAACCCCTTGCCTACCGGGCACTTATACCTCCTTCCTGTTAGCTGTTTTTGTCGGTGGGTTTAACCCAGAGGTTTCCCTAGGGTTGGTGTCACCCGGTGAGATAACACTTAGTGACACCCCCTCCGACGATTCCCGCAGGATGGATCAGATCTGCGGATTGAGCATAATGGATCGGAGTCCGATCCATTATGCTCCCCAATCTACAGATCTGATCCATCCTGCGGGGATCGTCGGCTTGCTTTACAACTTACCTTTTCGTGGAGCGGGTCCGGTGTCACCCCGTGCAGTAGGTGTCACCAGGAGCGCGCGCACCCCCCCCCCCCCCACACCTGCCTCGTGACACCACTGGTGTACGGCCAGCTGAGTGCCCCCTCCCCGTCGGTCTCCCAAGACCCAATTATTAAAGAATCACAGCTTACACGTCTAAAACATCTCTTTTTCCGAAAAGTTTGGGCAAACCACAACTCATCGAACTTTTCAGAAGTTCCCTCATCTCTGAGGATCAGATGTTCGCAGCACACAGATAGCTGAACACCTTTACTGCTGAAACTCGCGGAACGTCTCGCCGGGAACAACACGCGTGTAGCTTCCTATTTCTACAGGCAGAACAGATGGAGTTTTAATTCAGACATAATCACCAGAACTGTATTAGCATGTTTCTAATTTGCTGTTTTATCTGCCTGATGATACAATGTCCAGAAAGAAGATTTTATTACTTCACTTTACAGCAAACAGATGCTAATCACTCGTTAATTATATCTGGCCAATTAGAGCCCATTATTCCCCTGTCTGGCTCTACCCTTATGGAAGAAAAAAATATATTTAAAATATATATATATATTTTTTTTTAAAAATATGTATTTTTAAACTATATTTCAAATACATTTTTTTCTTTCCACCTGGGGAAATGCGTTTTTTTATTATAAAACATATGAAAAATGTTTTTAAAAATACATTTCAAATATGCCGTACATCTTTAAAAATACAAATCTACATTTTTGGAATGCGTTTACAAATATATGTAAAAAAAAAAAATGTTAAAATGACTTTTTTATATGTTTAAAAAAATGTTTATATGTTTAAAAAAAATCTGTTTAAAAAAATCTGAAGAATATATTTAAAAATATATATATTTTTTAAAAATATTTTTCATCTATTTTGTAATATATTAAAAAAAAAACGCATTTCAACGTTCAGTATACATATATTTTTTTTAACATATAAAAAAAAGTCAGTCATTTTAAAAGATGGAGTTTTTTAATTCAGACATAATCACCAGAATTGTATTAACTTGTTTCTAATTTGCTTTTTTTATCTGCCTGATGATACAATGTCCAGAAATAAGATTTTATTATTTCACTTTACAGCAAACAGATGCTAATCACTCGTTAACTATATCTGGCCAATTAGAGCCCATTGTTTCCCCTGTCTGGCTCTACCCTCATGGAAAAAAAAAAAATATATATATTTAAAAAAAAAAAAATATATATATTATATATATATATATATATATATATATAATTTTTTTTTAAATATATATATATATATATATATATTTTTAAACTATATTTCAAATACATTTTTTCTTTTTTTATTATAAAACATGAAAAATATTTTTTTTAAATCTTTTTCAAATATGCCGTACGTCTTTAAAAATACAAGTCTACATTTTTTGGAATGCGTTTAAAAAATATGTAAAAAATATATGGTAAAATGACTTTTTTTATATGTTTAAAAAAAAATCTGAAGAATATATGTAAAAAATATATATATTTTTAAAAATATTTTTAAAAAATCTGAAGAATATATTTAAAAAAAATATATTTTTGAAAAAATATTTTTCATATATTTTGTAATATATAAAAAACACATTTCAACAGGCAGTATACATATATATTTTTTAACATATGAAAATGTCAGTCATTTTAACATATATTTTTACTTATACTTGTAAATGCATTCCAAAAATGTAGATTTGTATTTTTAAAGACATACAGTATATTTGAAATATATTTTTCTTCCATTTGGGTCCCCCCCCCCCCCCCCACAGCACAAATCCTTTTTCTCCCACCATCCCCCCTAAATCACCCCCCCTCCCCCCCATCTGAGCTGCCCGTCAGTGCCACCTATCAATGCCAGTCAGTGCCACCTATCAATGCCAGTCAGTGCCACCTATCAATGCCAGTCAGTGCCGCCTATCAGTGCTGCCAATCAGTGCCCCCTATCAGTGCCAGTCAGTGCCGCCTATCACTGCGTATCAGTGCTGCCTATCAGTGCCAGTCAGTACCGCCTATCAGTGCCGCCTAACAGTGCCAGTCAGTACCGCCTATCAGTGCCGCCTAACAGTGCCAGTCAGTGCCACCTAACAGTGCCAATCAATACCAACTATCAGTGCCAGTAAGTGCCGTCAGTCAGTGCTGCCTATCAGTGCCATATATGAGTGCTGCCTTTCAGTGCCCATCAGTATTGCCTGGCATTGCCCATCAGTGCCTCCTCATCAGTGCCCTATCACTGCAGCCTCATCAGTGAAGGAGAAAAATTACTTATTTCCAAAATTTTATAACAGAAACTAAGAAAAAACCTTTTTTTTTAACTTTTTCAGTTGTTTTGGTTTGTTTAGCAAAAAATAAAAAAACCCAGAGGTGATTAAATACCTCCAAAGAAAGCTTTATCTGTCTCAAAAAAAATTATAAAAAATTCATATGGGTACAGTGTTGCATGACCGCGCAATTGTCATTCAAAGTGTGATAGCGCTGAAAGCTGAAAATTGGCCTGGACAGGAAGGGGGGTGAAAGTGTCCAGACTGGAAGGGGGGGGAGGGGGGGTGCCCGGTAGGTGAGGGGCCAAGTCAGTTATCAGTGGGAAAATGTTGTAAATCCAATTTTATCTGATTTACGTAAATTTGTTGTTGAAGCCGGGAGATGAGGGGAGAAATCTGCCAATGGAGACGTGTTCTGGTGACAACTACGGGATGAGCTTCAGGTTCGGGTCCAATGTGAGTTCAACATCGATCCTGTCTTCCGCTTGGCAAAGAAATTGCCGATATTTGGACAGATTGCCCGTGGAATTATATTCGGCCAGTTTGCCCGTGGAATTATATTTCGGCCAGTTTGCCCGTGGAATTATATTCGGCCAGTTTGCCCGTGGAATTATATTTTTTTTTTGGAATTATATTTGGCCAGTTTTGCTCGTGGAATTATATTCGGCCAGTTTGCCCGTGGAATTATATTCGGCCAGTTTGCCCGTGGAATTTTTATATTCGGCCAGTTTGCTCGTGCAAAAAGTAAGTAAACGAAGCCACCGGGGATCATGGACACCGTTATTGACCCCCTGGTTGCTTTGTTTGCATACCGTTGCAGCCTGGGATCTGTCATTTTGCGGCAGTGGTGCGGCGGGGAACGTTGTCTTGCAGCGGGTCAGTGTGATGGAAGGACATCATCTGCAGGAGGGAAGCATTGTCCATCTAAGGGCCCTCATGAAGAATTCTGCATTTATATTGCTGGACAGCTGTGACTGATGCTGAATTCATTTTTTGGGGAATGAGTAATATGGGGCACTAATGGACCCCATAGTTGTGCCCCTGAGGTGGGGGATAATTGGGGTCCCCCAACTATACAGGAGGCTTCCAGACTGTCCCCATCATGAACCTTCATATCCCTTTTGGTGCTTTGCATGGGGTGAAGGCTTTGTCGCTCGCCCCCCCCCCCCCCTTCTTGTTTGCAAGGTACCCTCTCGATGTCAAAAAACTGCTGGACAGCTGTGACTGATGCTGAATTAATATTTTTGGGGAATGAGTAATATGGGGCACTAATGGACCCCATAGTTGTGCCCCTGAGGTGGGGGATAACTGGGGTCCCCCAACTATACAAGAGGCTTCCAGACTGTGATAAGTCCCCACCATGAACCTTCATATCACTTTGGGTGCTTTGCATGGGGTGCAGGCTTTGCCGCTCTCCCCCCCTCCCCTCTTCTTGTTTGGCAAGTTACCCTCCCGATGTTAAAAAACACTAGCGGTTTGGAAGGATTGGGGTGCAGCCTTGGTGGCCATTAAATGGGGGCCAACTCCTCCCTTCCCCAAACCACACCATGCCACATTCCTTTCAACATTGGGAGGGAATCTGGCAAGAGAGGGTGGTAAAGACCCCCCCCCCCCACAAGGTTCCTTGAGATGAAGGACAAGGGCCTCTTCCCCACATTCTATCCCCAAAAATGGGGTGTGGGGGGTTTTGGGGGTACTTATAGGATTCTGTCAGCCCCTTATCAATACGAGATTTTCTGCCCCCCAGAGGAACAAGTATGGGGTATACTAGTACCCCTTTTTTTTCAACCTCAACAAAAGGTCAGAAAGACACACAAACTCCACACGTCTTTTAAAAAGTCCACCATCAGTGATATAAATTCATTGTCAATCATGGCGATCTGCTGCCCAATGCCACTACGGCAACCTGCTACCCAATGGTGTTCTGCGGCCACTATGGTGACCTGCTGCCCAATGGTGTTCTGCGGCCACTACGGTGACCTGCTGCCCAATGGTGTTCTGTGGCCACTACGGTGACCTGCTGCCCAATGGTGTTCTGCGGCCACTACGGTGACCTGCTGCCCAATGGTGTTCTGCGGCCACTACGGCAACCTGCTACCCAATGGCGTTCTGCAGCCACTACGGCGACCTGCTGCCCAATGGTGTTCTGCGGTCACTACGGCGACCTGCTGCCCAATGGTGTCTTGCGGCCACTACGGCGACCTGCTACCCAATAGTGTTCTGCAGCCACTATGGCGACCTGCTACCCAATGGTGTTCTGCAGCCACTACGGCGACCTGCTACCCAATGGTGTTCTGCAGCCACTATGGCGACCTGCTACCCAATGGTGTCTGCGGCCACTACGGCGATCTGCTGCTCAACGACAGCTTTCCAGCACTCCGGGAATGTAAGCAACAGCCCCGGGGATCTCGGGTGGCGCTGCTGACCAAATAGGTCATGATTACCCACATGGAAGAAAAATATATTTGAAATACTCAAATTTTGGCCATATTCAATATATTTCAATACATATTTATATATATAGATATATGTGTGTATATATAAAAATATATAATATAAACATATATATATTGCATGTAGAAATGTATTTTTTATAGTTTTTTTTTATATATTACAAAACATATGAAAAATATTTTTAAAAATATATATTTTTTAAATATATTCTTCAGATTTTTTTTTACATATAAAAAAGACATTTTAAAATATATTTTTTACCTATATTTGTAAATACGTTAAAAAAAATATAGATTAAATGTATTTTTAAAAAATATTTTTCATATATTTTGTAATAAAAATGCATTTCAACATACAGTATCTATCTATCTTTATCTATTCTATTATCTATCTATCTATCTATCTATCTATTATTTCTATTATCTATCTATCTATTATCTATCTATCTATCTATCTATCTATCTATCTATTATCTATTATCTATCTATTATCTATTATCTATCTATTATCTTTATCTATCTATCTATCTATCTATTATCTATCTATCTATCTATCTATCTATCTATCTATCTATTATCTATCTATCTATCTATCTATCTATCTATCTATTATCTATCTATCTATCTATCTATACATTTATCATATCTATTATTATTATCTATCTATCTATCTATTATTATCTATCTATCTATTTATTATTATCTATCTATTATTATCTATCTATTATTATCTATCTTTCTATCTATCTATCTATCTATCTATCTATTTATCTATCTATATTATTATCTATCTATCTATCTATTATTATCTATCTTTTTATCTATCTATCTATCTATCTTATTATCTATCTATTATCTTTTTTATTATCTATCTATCTTTTTCTATCTATCTATTATCTATCTATTTTTTATTATTCTATCTATCTATTTATATTTCTAATTATCTATTTTTATTATCTATCTATCTTTCTATTATTATATATTCTATTATCTTTTTTTTCTATTTATTTTATCTTTTCTATTTCTATTTTTATCTATTATCTATCTTTATTATCTTTTTATCTATTATTTTATTTCTATCTATCTATTATCTTTTTATTTATTATTTATCTATCTATCTATCTATCTATTATCTATCTATCTATCTATTTATTATCTATCTATTATCTATTTATCTATTATTATTATATCTATCTATTTTCTATTATCTATCTATCTATTTTATCTATCTATCTATCTATTATTTATCTATTATTTATTATCTATTTAAATCTATTTTATCTATCTATCTATCTATCTATTTATCTATCTATTTATCTATTATCTATCTATTTTTATCTATTATTTTATTATCTTTTCTATTATCTATCTATCTATCTATCTATCTATCTATCTATCTATCTATCTATCTATCTATTTTATTATCTATCTATTATCTATCTATCTATCTATTATTATCTATCTATCTATCTATCTATTATCTATCTTTTTTCTATCTATCTATCTATTATTTATCTATTATCTTTTATCTTTTCTATCTATCTATTTATCTATTATTAATTATTTATCTATTATTTATCTATCTATCTATCTATCTATCTATCTATTATCTATCTATCTATCTATTATTATCTATCTATCTATCTATCTATCTATTATCTATTTTTATTTATCTATCTATCTATCTATCTATCTATTATCTATCTATCTATCTATCTATCTATCTATCTATCTATCTATTATCTATTATCTATCTATCTATCTATCTATCTATCTATCTATCTATCTATCTATTATTATCTATCTATCTATCTATCTATCTATTTATCTATTATCTATTATCTATTTATCTATTTTTTCTTTTTATTTTATTATCTATCTATTATCTTTATCTATTATCTATCTATCTATTATCTATCTATCTATTATCTATTTTTATCTATTATCTATTTCTATTTTTATCTATCTATCTATTCTATCTATCTATCTATTATCTTTTTATTATTATCTATCTATCTATCTATTTATCTATTCTATCTATTATTTTATTATTTTTTATATTATTTATCTATCTATTATTATTTTTATCTTTTTTATCTATTTATCTATCTATCTTTTTATCTATCTATTATCTATTTCTATCTATTATTTTCTATCTATCTATTATCTATTATTATTATTATTTATTTAATCTTTTTATTATTATCTATTTATCTTTTTATTATCTATTCTATTTATCTATTATTATCTATTTATTTTCTATCTATTTTTATCTATCTATCTATTATCTATCTATTATTATTATCTATTATCTATCTATCTCTTCTATTTATCTATCTATCTATTATCTATCTATCTATCTATTATTATTATCTATCTATCTATCTATCTATTATCTATCTATCTATTATCTATTT